TCGGGACAGCCCGGAGAACCGAGGCTGTGGTGCTGGGCTCAGCTGTAACAGCCCTCTTGCTCCGTGTCCCAGGGGTTTCTGTCTGAGAATCTGGAACGTCCTCCCGCTGCAGTGGACAGCGGCTCTCAGGGCGCTGGGGAGGGGAAGCGGCCCCCTTCCCTCCTGGGGAAGAGCCGGAAGACAGCGTATTCACTGAATGAGCAAGTGAAGGAACCAGAGAATCTTGGCGGGGTTGGGAGGTCTTCCTTGATTAGTGGGGTGCAACGGGAAACACTGCCTTCCTACGATTGTTCAGAACTCACTCTGCGGGCAGGGCGTGGGAGAGGAGGGGAGTCGGGGAACCCTGTCGCAAGAGAGAGGTTTGCAGAATCAGAAATATTGAACTCCGGGAAGAGGTGTCTCGGGAAGAGACATGACGTCATGGCAACAGCTACAGCTCCATATCAAAAGGGCCAGTGGGGAAGGGGGCTGGGCCCCCAGACAGCAGTGCCCTGAAGGCTGGGCTGTAGCCACGGGTGCAAAGTGCAAGGAGGCGCATTCATGCTCCACAGAAAGAAGAAATGTCTTCCAATTAATTCTGCCAAAATAATAGAAAAGCCTGTTTTTTATAGTGGTGATAATAAATTAGCAATAGTGCACGTTTACATCTATTAGGCTGAACCGTATAAAATGCTGATGTTCAACCATTCCTGACCTAGAAAAACAGTAGTTTCATATGGCTTGACTTACTACATTTTCCCATCTCGGAATAATTCCCCAAGTCCTTTTTAATGGCCTGCGAGTCCTCCCAAGATGTGTTCCAGCTGCCTTTCCAACAGGATTTGCTACCACTCTCAGGAGGTCCACAGCAGGCTCCTGGCTGGGTCTTGAACCCCCAAATCTCCTTTCTGCCCCACAGCCTTTGCAAACGCTGTTCCCTCTGTGTAGCCTATTCTTTCCCCAAGCTTACCCTTCCTCTTCTCTCATCGGCCACCTCCCTCCTCCCAGCATCCCTGCCACCTACCCACGTACCTTTCTCTGCCTCCCCCTCCACCTGCCGCTGTCCATCACTGTCCTGTGAGGGCAGACACCCTGTTGCCCCACAGCACCCCCAGGGTCTGGAGTAATACCAGACACGTGGTAAATGTCCAATAAATATTTTTGGCATGAATGACGGAATGACTTCTTAACCAATGAGCAAACCGAGGCCTGGAAGGGTCAAATGATCTTTCCCAAAGGCTCAGAGCCGGTGTCTGGAGAAGCCAGAGGGAAGTCTCAGCGTTCGGATCCCCAAGTCCAGACTCTGTAAAAAGTCAACCCGTTTTCCAGGCTCAATGGTCTTGATGCAGAGCCTTTCTCTGAGACCAAGTAGGGGCTCCTGCTTCAGGTCCCTAGTGGGACCAGGTGCCCCAGAGGTACCCTTGACTCCTGAGTGTGTGACCCCATGGGGCACATGCTTCAGAGAAGGCTCTGAGAAGGACAAAGTGTTGGTCATCTCCCGGAGTCGCACGGCTGGGGTGCCGGACCAGGAGTGTGGGCACGATGCTGCCTGAAAAGAAGAAGTCCCGACCAGTGTCTCTTTCGGGAAGCTGGAGCATTTATCTGAGCCTCCAAATATGAAATACTCCTCAGTTTGCAAATGAATGCAGGATGTGTTTACATAGCGACCACCAGGAGAGCAGTATTATGTGGAGAGGAACAAAAAGACAAAGCTGCCCGTTCAATTCTGGGAGCTGATGGCTCTGCTCTCCCCGGGAGGCCGCCTCTGTGCAGCTAATTACAGTGAGTAAGGCAATGGAAAAGTGAGGAAGTGATCTTTCTCCTCCCCCAGGTTCCGGCTTTGCAAAGAGCTGGTCTTTTGGTTTCAGGACGCTGGGGGGCCGGCCAGACAAGCTCTGTCCGGCACGTTCCCTGCCATCGGGACACTGCGAGAGGTGTCAGTATCCAACACGCGTGTGGGGGGGGGCTGGAGGTCATTGGTGGCGGCTAGGTGTGTGGCCGGATGTTCCTGAGCGGGGGGGGGGTGGGGGTGGGACCCCGCTGTGTCAAGACCAAGGTAATCGAGGTGAATAGTGGTCCACAGTATGCAGAGGGTGTTGTGTATCTCATCGCACTGACTGCTCACAACATTTTGCAAAGAAAAGGAGCTCAGAGAGTGTGCTGACCTGCAGAGGGACGGTGGCGGCACTGCTCTGGGGGGTTGGGCAACTGGTGACTGCTCACGATGTCTCTAAGGAAAGGGGCACAGACAGCTACTGGGGCAGATGCCCACTGCTCCCCTTGCTCCAGGCTAACAAAAGCTACCATTTGCTGAATAGTCACGTGCTAGGAACGCTGCTAGGCACTTTGTGGTGGATGGGAGCCGTTGTCTGTTCGTTTCACAGAGCAGAAGAGTGGGAGGTAGGGACCTGAGGTCAGACAGGAGGAAGCAGAAAAGGTCTGCATTAATCAGGATGGGCCATGTCGTGTCTCGCTAACAAGCAGCTCCACACTTTCCTGATCTTAACACAATAAACATAACATACATTCCCCTGCAAACTCCGCGTTCATCATGGCCTCGTGGAGTCACCCAGGGACCCAGGCGGAGAGGGACCCACCGTCACGAAGCTGCACCATCTGGAATAAATGAGCTCTTGTTGCCAGACAGGCAGAGGAAGAGCCAGAGGGTCTCACACTAGCAATTAAGTGCTTTTGTCTGGAAGTGACATGTCACTTCTGTTTGTAGTGCACTGGCCCGAACGAGTCAGGCTGGCCTCGTCCAGCAGCCGGGGGCTCGGAGAGACTCAATGTCCGTGGGTGTTGGCAACGTCCAGCCTTGGGCAAACTCACGTGAGAGCCCCTGCGTGGGGTCCCTGTGCTGTTCTGCTTCATGAGACACTGCGTCCTCGAGGTACAGTCCCCACTCAGTGCCTGCGTGCACGGGGCTGCTGGCTTTCCCTTCCTGCTCCCCATCCACGTCCCTCCAGCCCACAGGGAGCCACGGGGTGCCGGGCCCTCTGTCGGCCGCTGAGGGTACTGAAATAGAGCATACATGGTCCCTGTGTTCGAGCAGCTTTACTTGAAGAGGACAGTGCTAACGTGTCCCACACATAACCCTGCCATCCGAGCAGACAGCTGCGAGTGAGTCAGCCCCATACAGCCCACCTGTCCCAGGACCTCCCAGACGGAGCGAAGGGGAATCAGTAATGAGTCAGGCAAGGCTTCCAGGAGGAGAGGGCCTTTGGGCTGGGTCCCCAAGATGAGTACGATCTGGAAGCGAGGAGGATAAGGGACAGGCTGGCGCATTCCAGGCAGGCAAGGAGACCAGGGGTCTCAGCGCAGAGGCGGGGGGAGCAGGGCACGTCCCCAGGGCAGCACTCTATCTAACGGCTAGAACACTGGGGGAGTCACAGGGAGAGCTGAGTGAGCCTGTCCTCTGGGAAGATGTCTTGTCGTAGATCAGTGGGGACCCTGAACTTGACACTTGGGTGAGGAGAGCAGACAGGAAGCTGTTTGTGCCTCGGGCCGGAGCTCGCCAAGGCAGAGGACTTCAAGGAGGGGGCAGCTTTCCAAAGTCAGCAGAGCTTGGCGATTACCACTTGTGCTCAAGCTGGGGGTGACTTCAGGGAGTGGCTGGGGTCCCCTGTCACAGGCAGAGGCCTCACACGTGAGACAAGCTCCTGTGGCCTTTCTTGTGTCAGGAGCAGAGTGGTGCCCTCTACAGCTCACAGGCTTGTCCCCAGGAGCCTGCTGGCCCTGTGCTGGGCTCCGAGGATGCACAGAGGAGGCGGGTGTGCGGACCCAGCCCACAGCAAGCAGCCACCGCCCACAGCTCCGCCCGGCAGACTCGCCTGCGTCTCCATTTGCACACTTGCTGCTTCTCCTCTGCTTTTCTGCTTACTCTGCTCCGTTTGCTTCTGCCCCCACCCATCATGCCAGGTTTTACCTGCCACAGTTCAGCTGACCTGGCTCCAGCCGCCTGCCCCACCCGAACCTGGGTCTCCCATTCCCGCCCAGGAGGGACTCACCTCCAGTCACCGACGGGCTCAGGTCCCGGACACGGCGTCTCCCCACGGCTCCCAGGGCACCAGCCTCTCTGGCTGTGGGGCCTCTGCCTGGGACCTCCCACCTTCTCGGAAACGGGTAGCATTACCTCTCAAGTACTTTCAGCTCCCCCATCCCTACCTGTCTCTGGCTGTGTCCTGTGTCCCTTGCACACAGAACGGCTCCCATGGACCAGCTTCTGTTTGCTCGGCGGTCACATGGGTGATGCAAACAACAAAACCTTGTATCTCTCTGATGATTTATAGCTTTCAAGAACCAGGATCTGAAAACAGCCATTCCCCCCACTGCCCACCGCCGGTGATCCTCAAACGCTCCTGGGACATGACCAAAGAGAAATCCTTGAGGAGGCCACTACACTCCAAGACTCCCAGTTTCTCAGCAGGATGGCCCATGCGGGCTCTACGGCACAGGCTCCCACCTCCTCCCTCAGAGCCAGAAGGCCACGGGCTTGGGAAATCTGCTGTTGTCCCAAACCTCTACCTCTTAATAAATGGAACCCATCTGGCTCCAACCCTCTCCCAGTTCCTTCAGGATCTGGACCCGGGTTCAGTCGCCCCCTGACCTGCCCCATCATCAGTTTGGCCCCAGAGTTCCGGGAGTGTGTTCCCGTGGCAGGACCTCCCTCTGTTTGTCTGTCCTCTCCCAGGTGACAGCTTCCCTGGTCTCAGGGCCCGGGACAGCCACAGATATAAGTAACCGCCCAAAGGACCACATAGATCCTCTCTGTAATCTCCACCCAAAAGTCCAGTTTTCTTCCCCAAATGTGACCATTTCACCATTTCACCCCAATCAGACAATCTTTTAAGCAAGGAGAACTACTCATGCCTTCAATAACACAAAACATGGTACTTTTTAAAACATTTATATTTATATATATAAAAAAATTAAATATATATAATATATAGTGTGTTTGAGACTAAAAATATAGTACATAATATTTAAAAAAAAGGAAAATGAAAACAGGCAGAATAGGAAAAGGCGTGAGGACACACAGACACACATTGCTAAAAACCTACGATGGTCTGTTCTAACAAAAATAATATTTTTTTCTCTTAATTGTCATCATGGATCCATTTATTATTGGGGTTTGAGAGCAGAAAACTCAACTGCAGCCCAGAGTGGAGGCTGTGACCCCAAGGGTGGTCAGGGTGGAGAGCGTGACCACCGGGCCGGGAGCTGGGGGGTGTTCCCGGGGCAGCATCTGGTCTCCAGAAACAGGTAGAAGGCCCCGCGGCCTGCCGACCCTCGAAAAGGCCCATGGTTGTGGCCCGAGAACAGCCAGGGGCAGGACAGGAGGCTGGCAGGAGCGGGACGGTTCTACGATTATTATTATTATTATTATTCCTGTTATTATTTGTAAGGGCAGGCTCGTACCAGAGCTGCCCATATGGCCTGTGACTTCTGCACAGCCTTCTCCAGGGACGGGGCCTGGAGCTCCTTCACAGTGACGCAAGGAAACGGGAACCTCCCCCAGCGCCCCCGTTCCGGACTCTCCCCGGCCGCCCGGAGGCAGGAGGAGGCCAGCGGATGGAGGCTGGCCTCCAGGAGAGGCAGATGCTGGGGGGCGGGGAAGGCAGGGACAAAGGAGGGGAGTATTTAAATGCTTGTTTCATAGCCTCTTCACAAAAACAGATGCCTTTCCAAATCACATCCCTCGGTCTGTGGAGGGTCTGGCGACCACCTCTTCACTGGTCCCTCCAGAGTCAGGGGCTTCACGAACGCCTTCCTGGTGACTCCCTAACACGAGGCACAGGGCAGTGACCCGCCAGGGACGCCCAGCACTGGAGTTGTAGGGAAGCCTGGGTTTCCGAGGTCGTGGCGGCCCAGGAGAGCAGCCATATGGACGGAAGGGCCCACACAGCCAAGTGAGGCCGCCACTGAGCCGTTTCAGTCCAAGTGGGGTCTTGACTTTGATGTGCTTTTCCTCCGACCTGAATGGCCCATCACCGCTGCCCGCACGGGTCAGGTGCGCTGAGGGACCATTCGGTTCCATTCTAAGGAGCCCAGGGCCTGTGGTGCTCCACAGAGCGTGGGAGGAAAAGGGGCTCCAGGGCAGGGCCCTCCCTCAGAGCGATGGACTTGCAGGTGGGGGGGTCACACTGACCCTGACCACCCCGGGGCATGGCGTTCTGGGCAGCACCGCCGTCCCTGGTAGCCCCCCTTCCTGACCCCACAAGGACTCTGGGGCTGGGCTTCGAGGGATCCAGGAATCAGGACACAGTCTGAGCCCCCATGAGCTCACACACAATCACCAGAGTCAATGTCAAACTGCTCTCCCCTCTTCCCTCGACCAGCTGCCTCACAGAAGGGTCAGCCTTGCTCACGCCTCACTACCTGGCTCGAGACACCCTGGCCGGCAGGTTTGCCTCCTCAACGAGAGGACAGGGCGGAAGGTGGCTGCCGCGACTCCCCCCCAACCCCCGCTCGAAGCTGCCCGGAACCAGGGTACCCTGGAGGACTCCCCCCACCCCTCCCGGGACACAGATGCCTTTGCCAAACCCGCAGAATTCTGAGAGGGCTCCAATCGAGAGCGACTACTCCCAATGGTCAGAGGACAAGCCCACACCAATCTCACGGAGGCCGAGGATGTGCTCTGTCGCCGTTCCGCATGCAGCAGACCCTACAGGAAACCCACTTGCAACACTTGTGACAAGAGGCCCACAGCGAAAGCTTTTCTCAAGAGAGGAGAACCTTCTACCACTCCACCCCTTCCCTGCTCACGATCCACTCCCAGCTCCTCCCCAGGGGTGGCTGGGCCCCCGCCTCACCGAATGAATACAGCAAGAGCAGAATAATTCTAGGGCTGTGCAACCCTCCCCCTGTTTTAAGGCCAGAAAATCGGGGGTGGCAAACATGAAGAGGTTAGGCCAAGGTCACTCAGCCAATGGCAGCTTCGGGATGGGGCCCCTGATCTCCTGACCCCCTCATGCCTCACTCTTCCCACTAAGATGAGTGTATCAAAGGTGCTCGGGGTCACCAAGACGACCACACCACGCACTCGGGCACCATGCTGGAGGGGCCCAGCCTCCAACAGCAAAGCTCTCCTACGTTCAACGGCGCCTTCCCCTCCCCGGAAAAGCAATTCCATTGGCCCAACAGGCAGGCCCCAGTTCTGGGTGTGATCAGATGAGCATTGTGCAAACTGCAGAGCGCAGAGAGGGCCTGGGGCGCTGGTGTCTCTCTGTGCCTTGCCCTGTGCATGCTCCGTACCCAGGAGCGGCCGGTTACAGAGTCCGAGAGCAGAAAAGTAGCTCTGTTCACAGGCTTCTGAAAACTAACGGTCCCCGTAGTGTCAGCTGAGCTGGCTAGTGACCTCGGGCCCTCCTCTTCATCATCTCAACAGAATGGGCCCCGCACTAAAACAAAACAAAACAAAAGGAAACAGAATGTGGCCAAACCCCAAATACAAATGAATAATTTTTGGAATACTCTTGTTTACAAAGCCATCGCCATCTTTAGACTTTAACTGTTCGATTACCCATGGCTTCTGTTTCTGCGAAGAGAATCAAAATATGCATGAATTCATCTGCATGGGAACCTGCATCCTTATCAGACCTTCTCCCGGGGCTCACATAAAGGACTCGGTACAGAGGGGTCAGCTCCCAGGGGTAGGGTAGAATGCAGCTGGAACCTGGATGATGTCCCCCCACCCCCAAGAGACACCCAGGCTTTGCCCCTGATGCCGCAGAAGGGGATGCAGAGGCAGCCTGCCTCGCTGCAACGGAGCTGCCTGCTTCCTGGGCACTAGCTGGACCTTACCAGCGAGGATGGGGAGGAGTGTCACCCCACAGAGCCATCCGCAGGGGTGGTGATGGCCCGTGGCTGACGAGCATGTAACTCATTAAAGCAAACACGACTAATGAGTGGTGACCAGGAGAGAGGGCAAAGCGCGTTCCGGGGATCACCCCAGAGACCCTGCCTGCCAGGAGAAGGGGGGCCGGGGCGGGGGCACAGTTCTCTTTGGTCAGAGGTGGCGGCTGAGAATGGCCATGTGGAATGTGTGTGTGGGGACAGCATGGGCATGAGTGCCTGCAGTGTCCTCCCGTGCCACCTTCCTTCCTCTCCAGGCCCCTCACCCGCCGTCCCCAAAACTCTGCAACACCTAGCGGCGTGTCTGGGGCTCACGATACCAGTCCCCCGGGGCCCCCACACAGAGCCGGTCAACCAAAGCTGGACACTCAAGGCACTGAAAGTGGAAGGAATCTGATTGGTCCAAGAAAAAAAAAGACACTTAACAAACCAAAACCTGTCTGCAGAGACTATCTCCCATGCCCCCGGAAGGGGGCCCCCCCGACCAGCTGGGGGGCAGGACAAGCAGTCTGAGAGCGAGGCACCCTCCCTAAGCCTGTCAGAGCCCGTGGGGGACAGGTCTTACCACCTGAATGTTTAAAAATGGATTCAAAGTGCTTGGAAATTCAGAGTAATGGACGGTGCTACGAATCTGGTGAACAGGTGTCCCCTTCCCTTCCCATTGGGACTTTGGGTGGGGGGTTCCCTACAGCTTTTTTTGCCCTCCCCAAGTGAGGTTTTCATTGTTTTTTGTTGTCTTTGAAAAATAGCCTGAGGCATCCCACCCTCTCACCACCACTCCCCAGACAGGCTCAAGAGTTAAAACCAGGATGCGGGACAGGCTGGGGAAGGAAGGGGCTCCTCTAGACGGGGTTCTGGAAACTGCTCTGTAGCGCACAGCCTTCCTGCTGGTGTGCCAGGGCAGGGTTCCCCCACCTTCTTTTTTCCATGGGGACCCTGATCTAACCTGCGGGCTCTGCACAGAGGACAGAGAATCTGGGTCCTCTGCCCACAGGTGTCCACAATGAGCAGCCAGGACAGCTGGCCCTCTGATCCCAGCTGAATGAGGGCTGGATCTGAACTCAGTGCCAGGGCTGTTCGGTGGACCGCTAAAATCAATCCGAGGTCCCTTCCGCAGTCCCGGCAGGAGAGATGCTGCCGGGGTAGGAATGCAAAGGATGGAGAGGGGCCCCGGGGAAAGGCGTCTCCGCATATCTGCGCCTGAGCCCCCCTCCCATCGCCCGCACTGCGTGTCCCCCTAGGCCAACGCCTGCTCATTGTCACACACCCCTGTCCACTTAGGGGAGACCAGAGGGGTGGGGCAGAATGGGAATGCTAAAAAGTGTCCCCTCCGCTCTCCACAACCTTCGCTTCCTTGTCCGCGTGCTGGGGCCAGGAGAGAGCCCAGGTCGGAAGAGACACGTCCTCCCGAAGAAGAGGGAAGGGCAGGCCCAGGAGGCTGGGGCATGCACAGAGCACCATCCTCGGGACGGGGTGTTTCCGGGAGACCTGCTCCCCACCTGCCGCGCCGGCGGCGGAGGACGAAGGCTGGGCCGGGCCGGGAGCGACGCGCAACGCCCCTGAATATCAGGGAACGGCTGTGACAGCCTCGTCCTCTGCCCCGCAGAGGCGCCCAGCCGGCCCCGGGCCTACACGTGAGTCTGCATGCGCTGCTGGAACCGCTGCCCGTAGTCCGAGTGCTGCGAGGTGTAGGAGAAGCGGGTGGCCGTGGCGTACTTGCCGATCGGGTCGTACGCCTCGAACGGGGTCCGCTCCAGGCCCGACGGCGGCGCCTGCGGGTAGCCCAGCCGGTAGGTGGGGTAGCCCGCCGCCGCGGGGAAGGGGTGCGGGTTGAACTTGTCGTAGTTCTCGTAGGACAGCGTGCTGGCCGAGTCGGCGCCGGCCGGGGCGGCGGGCCCGGGGGCGGCGGGATCCGGGCCGAAGTCGGACGCGGGGGCGCGGCTGTAGGAGCTGAGCTGCGCGTAGCCGCTCGAGTGCGAGAGGCGGGAGGCCGGGCGCCCGTCGAAGCGCGCGGGCCCGGGGGCGCGGTAGTCGGCGTAGAGCACGGCCCGCGACGCTGGGCGGTCCTCGTGGGCGCGCACGTTGTAGTAGCCATTGGTGGGGTCCTGGGGACGAGGGGCGAGGGGCGCGGTGGGGGCGCGGCCAGGTGCACCGGCCGGGTGCACCTGTCGGGGCCCGCGGGGAGCCCGCGCCCCTCCTCCCCAGCCCGCCCGCGCCCACCCCGCGCACCTTCATCTCGTACTCCTCCCGCGTGTCCATGGCCTCGCAGCGCAGGTCCTGCTTCAGGTCCACGTCGTCCTTGAAGGACTGCGGAGCCGCAGGGTGGGCGTCAGGGCCCGGCCGTTATCCCACGCCGGCCCCGCCCCAAGCCCAGGGCCGCCCGAGGGGTCTGGGGTCCCCCGGGCACACTCAGGCTCTGAGTGTGAGCCCAGCCCTGGAGAGGCTCTGGGGCGCAGGGCACGGGAAGAGGTCGGAGATCCGACCTGGCAGTGGTTTTATGGCTGACACACAATGTGACTTTGGGTGTGTCACAGCCCCTCCCTGGGACTGTCTCCTCCTCCTCTGAGCTATGCGGCAGTTGGATCAGAAAACTTCTAGGGGTTTCCAAGTCTGACTCTGTGTGGGAAGGACCGAGCCAAGCCCCGGCCTACGGCCTACGGAAGGTCCCACTTGCCTGTCCTTTGTGGCACGGAAATTAGCCTGGGGAGGACGTGTGCGTGCACGCGTGTGCGTATGTGCACGAGCATGTGTGCGCCTGTGTGTGCACATGTGAGCACGTGGGAGCGTGTGTGTGGGTGTGGGTGTGGCAGGATCAGAGCCCATCATCAGAGGGAAGACAGAAGGTGGTTAGTAGAGCTGGGGGCAGGCCAGGAGGAGGGGGACCCTCACCGAGTAGATGGCCTTCATGACCCGAGTTGCAGTGGACACGCTGGCGGTGTCATCCTCCCGGTCTGAATGCATCGTGAGTGGCTCACGGTTCACAGTCTCCACCTTGATGTCCAGCTTCCTAAGGGTCACGTCCTTGCGACCTGCACAGGAAAGGGCAGCGTGGATGCTACCCTCTGCAGGCCAACCCTGGGGGCTGGGGGCGCCACCGGGCTTGTCTGCTCGGGCAGGGGAGGGTGAGAGCTGCATGCGGGTGGGAGGCCCGGACTCACTGCCTTTGCGGCGTCGATAGAGGAAGAACACCAAAGCGATGAAGAAGAAGGTGAGCAGAACGCCCGCGCCGATGGTGGCCCCGGCGATGATGCCCACGGGCAGCACCTCTTCAGAGAGAAGGGAAGGCTGGGGTGAGGCCGGTGGCTCACGGGGACCTGAAGACCAGGCATCAGAGCCCCACCAGCATCCATGGATGGGAACGGCATTTGCCTCAAGTCAGGGGGAGTTGCAGAGGAAGGGCTGCATTGGGTCTGGGGTTAGGCCTGAGCTTCAGCTTAATCCAAGTTTGGAGCATGGCCATGTCCCCTCCCTGCAGCTGTGACACAGCATGACCCTGGCCCTGGGTGTCCGTCCACTCCTCTGCAGCCCACCTGCCTGCGAGGCTTGGCCTTGGCTTCCTGGGCTGGGATGCTCTGAGCTCAGCCGTCTCTACAAACTCAGACCTGCCACCCGTGTGCCCCCCATCTCTCCACCTCCCCACCTCCTCACCCTGGCCAGGGTGGTACCGGCACCTGCCCTCCCAGGGTTCAAACAGTTCTCCTTGGCTCCCCTGCTCCCCAGAGCTAAGCAGGACCCAGGGAACCTCCTCCAGCGAACTCTCCCTTCCTGGCAGTCCTGGATGGATCAGATCCATGGGACGTCCTTACCCTCCTCGCTGGGTCCTGCCATACTCCCTCCACTTCGTTCTTCCCCACCACCCCCTCGCTGGCGCTCTCAGCTAAGACACACAGGACGGGAGCCCCCACTTTTCTCTCCCTCCTCAGAGCGTCCAACAAAGTCAAAGGCAATGCCTCCTTCCACATGCACTGTCTTAAGGGAGGAAGCGCGTGCCTCCTAGCAGATGAAGGGTTCTCAAAGAGGCGGGAACCACTAGCTGCAGGGCGCCCGCCATGTGCCTCCTCTCTCTGCACCCTCATGCCAACCCAGGGAGGTCACCCATCCACGAAGCATCTGATTTTTCCCCACCTGAAGTCCTTTGCTTCCCCACTCTGTTCTGACCCAACAGCCCCTCAAGGGCTGGGACAGCGTCTTGTGCACAGCTGTGCACAGCATGGCGCAGGCGCAGAGGGGCAGCTAGTGCACTTTGGGAAAAGGGGGTGGGTTTCCCCAGCTGAGCACAAGCGCAGGCTCTGGAGGGCAGGCCCCTGAGAGAGTCATCTCCCCATGAGGACTGCCAGGGAGAGAGGAGGGAGCAGAACTCCCAGCGGCCCCGCACCCCAGCCACAGTCACCTCGCTCCTCCAGCTGGATGATGGCCGTGCCGGGCCCGAAGCTGTTCCAGGCCGTGCAGTTGTAGTGTGTCTGAAAGTCTGCTTCCATGACGTTGTTGATGGTGAGCGTGGACAGCACGCCACTGCCCGAGTTGGTCCTCTCCACCGTGTAGCGCTCCAGGGTGCCCGCCTCCAAGAAGTTCTCCTTCCAGGCCCAGGCCTGGGTGGAGAGAGTGGGGGAGGGGGGAGGCACGGGGGCGTAAGGAAGGGGCTGGTGGCCGACTCCAGGCGTTCTTGTCCCATGTGTCCTGTGCATCCCTCAGCCCAGCCCAGCACTCACCCTGCAAGAAACCCAAGTCACCCTCTTGCCTCAAACCCTGGCATGGGACCTCCAGTCTAAGGGAAACAGTGGCTCCCAGCGTGATGGAGATATGTGCCAGGAACGGGCCGATATGCCGAGGGACATTCCTTAAAACACAGATTCTTGGAGCTCAAGTCTTAAATGTGCATCTCCAGGGGAGAGCTCCAAGATTCTCTATTTTTATAAGAATCCCACCGATGTAGATGTGGCTGGGCTGGTGAACCAGTGTTTGGTAGCCCCTGATGTCCCGGATGGGGAGTCAACACTGGGCCCTGAGCCTGGCTGTCCCTCGAGCCCCTGTGTGGCCTCCCTCCCCCTCTCTGGGCCTCCAGGTCCTCATCTGTGAAAGCAGAGGACCAGGCTGGAGTTGGACACCCACAGTTTGTCCCGCTCATGACTCAGACTTTAGCCTCACCTTTAGCCAACCCGCAGGCAGCCCCACCTGAACCCACCTGGGGGGTTCTGGAGACCCATCCCCAGACTCTTAAAACAGGGAAGATCTCTCACAGAAAAGGGGTATCCCAACCCTTCTCCATCCCTGACCTCCCAGTCGGGACACCCCCTTCATGTCCCCTCCCTGAGTGGAGCCCAGGGGAGGGGGAGTGGCTGAGCACTGGCTCCTTTCCAGGGATCAATCCTCCTAGCTCTGCATGGGAAGCCCCCTGGGAGCCAAGCCGCCTGCTGCCCAGGCGGCCGTGGTAATGAAGTGTCCCTGGGCAGCCCTGGAGTTAGCCAAATGGTCATTAAATGTGATGAGGGGTTTGACGGTTAATGGTCATGGGAGGAATTAATGGCGCATGGTGTGGGGAAGAGGAGAAAGGAGGGGGAAGGGGGAGCGGGTCGGAGGAGGGAGACAGAAGGGAGCAGAGAGCCGGGGAGCCCAGGGGCAGGGTGGAGGCCAGGGAGGGGTGGAGGGAGGCTGGGAGAGGGAAGGAGATGAGGCAGACAGAGCAGCCCCGGCCTCTTGCACCTGTCACGACGGCCGCCCCACAGCCACCCGACCAGGCAGGGACACTGACCCCATTTTGTGGATGACAAAACGGAGGTTTGAAACCTAAGTAATTGGCTCAGGGCCATGTGACAGGTGAGAGAGGAGGGGCTGTCCTGTGAGCAGGGATGGGGGCAGAGGGACGCAGCCCCCGGGGCCCGGGCCAGGGCGCAGGCAGCACTCACGATGCGGTCCGGGGGTGGTGTGCTCCCGATGAAACACTCCACCTTGCCCCCGTCGCCCCTGACAGCATACTGCACGGCTTCGCTGGAGATAATGGGGGGCCCTGTGAGCAAGAAGACGCAGTCAGGGCCGGCGGGATGTGGCAGCACCTGCCCGCCCAGGCCCAGCCTCGCAGGCCGCTCACCGTTCACGTAAAGGGGCACCTCCCTCTCGGCCACGCCGATCCGAGGCACGATGGCCCGGCAGGTGTACGTGCCCGCGTCGGCCTGGGTCACCGACTTCAGCAGCAGCTGGTTGCTGTTACTCAGGACCTGGGCAGAGAGAGCAGCCTCGGGTGGGGAGCCAGGAGGCCTGGGCCCCTGGGTCCAAGCGGGGCCCCGCATCAGAGGCATTGGGAAGAAAGCAGGAAGGGCCACAAGTGAATTCCCGGAAGGACAAAGGCCGCATCCCCTGACTCTAAAAAGGGTCTCACTGGGGCCCGCGGTCTCCACTAGGGTGGGCTGCGAAGGGCAGAGGCCGGCGAGGGCAGCCGGAGCTGCGGTGACTTCAGAGAACGCAGCCTCGCGGAGGGTCTGTTCTAGAACTTTCCCTGCCAAGCAAAAAGGGAGTCTCACCCTGACATCCCTCTTCCTGCAATTCCAGCCCAGACGATCTAACGCAAGGGTCTGTAGGGATGCAGAACCCCTCCCTCCCTCCACACACACCTACTTCCCCGTGTCCCTCCCACGGCCACTGAGCCGGCCCGCTGTTCCACGGCAAGACGGGGGTTTGATTCCCAAGCACTGGCCTCCTCCTTCAAATCCCAAGACCCTAGACACACTGTGGCTCTGACTGGAAAAGTCACGGTGCACCTGCCCTGCCCCACCCCCGCTCTCCCACCTGGGACCGACTCCTTCCTCCCGGCGCTCGAGACGGGCCACAAGCGTCTTACCATGTTTGAGTCCTTTTTGGTCCAGGTGAGGGTGAGGGGGGGATTCCCCACCCAGACGCAGGTGAGGGTCACGTCAGAGCCAATGTCTGTGGTCGTGGGCTTGGGGTCAACTACGATCCGGGGGGCAACTGCGTGGAAGAGAGCACTGGCTAGGGCCTCGGTCTCATCGGGGCTCTGCGCCGGCCAACCTTCTCTTCCTTCCACTGCCCTGCCACTTCCCCGGCCTGTCGTCTGTCCTGAGCTTCACGGAGCCCCCGCCCCTACCCCTGACCCTTCAGGGGTCCCTGCCCGGGCAGCACTCACAGTGGACGTTCACTAAGGTGCTGACGTTGGTGCTCCCCACTTTGTTGTGGACCTCACAGGACACAGGCTCCGTGAAGAAGGAATAGTCGACGTTCGTCTCATAGCGACTCTCGTGGGCGTCTTCAATCAAGAAGCCGCCCTTGGCCCACCTGGGGTAAAGGCGGCACGGGGGGTGATCAGGCCCTGGACGACTCTCACCCATGGCCGGGGGCACGATGCCCCCGGCAGCCCCCACTCCAGGCCCAGGCTGTCCCCAGCCCCCACGCCTTGCACCTGTAGCCCAGAATCTCAGGGTTGGCTGTGGCCTGGCAGGTGAAGATGACGCGCTCCCCCTCCTGTACCGTCTGCGGCTCAATAGACAGGGTCACCGTGGGAGGGTCTGCAAGGCAGGGGACAGGAAGGGTCTTTTCTGTCCCTCAAGTGTCTTTCTCTTCCTAACCCACACACCCAGCCTTCTCCCTGTGCAGAGATCTGCGAATTGGAGTGAAGAGAGAACCAGGGCCAGTAAGAAGGCATCTTCCTCACTTTACCCCAAGGAGCCTCCAGAGGGCCGGGCTAGGGGGCTGTCTAGGGGGCTGGGACCCAGGCTGCCGCCTAAGGGACATTTAGGGGATGTAAAGTGCACAGTGGCTGCGAGGAGTCAGGGCAGCCTGGCGGGGCCCACTGAAAGGGGTGCAGGTGGGGCATCTCCGGCCCCTGCCCATTCCCTCCCTTTTCTGGGTGGAGGGGCTATACTGAACACCCCCCAAACAGCAGTAGGCTCCATGCTGGCTGCTCTGACACTGTCTCGTCCAAGTGCTCCCCCAGCCCTGACAGACGGCAACGGGTCGCCAGTCCCTTCTCTGAGCCCCAGGGGATTAGATGTATTTCAGAATTTGGAGTTTTCCCAATTTTAGAAAGGTGCTGGTGTGCACAGACCATTTGCTACATAAGACCCCCAGCGGGGTCTGGGCAACACCTCATAGTGAGATACGGGTTAAGTAAGAGACCGTGGAGAACCTTAGTTCACGTTTTACCAGCAAATCAGATTTAGTTTGGAATTTCAGAGAAGACACCATAGGCCCGTGTTTTATTTTCCTCACATACACAGAGTTGGGAGCTGAGGCTCAGAGGTGAAGTCACAGCCCAAGTCTCCTGCTGGGTCTGACCCAGGAGCTGCCTGACTCACAGCCCGTGCCTCCCCCAAGCCCCCGGAGGACCGGCGTTCGGGGCTTCTCCGAGGTCGCCCCACACTCTCTCCCTTAGCCCAGTCCTCCCCCCAGCGCCATGGCAGGACCCCTGCTCACGGTGCACGTCGAGCTCGATGGAAGTCTCCTTGCCGGTGGGGGTGGCCTCGTTCACGCTGCGGCAGGTGAAGACGCGCCCGATGTCCAGGTCTGTGGGGTTAATGAGCAGCCGGCTGATGGTGGTCTCCCTCTTCCCATCCTTCAGCAGTTCCTGGGGTGGGACAAGTGGGAGACCGGGTCAGACTACAGCCCCCCACACTGCGATCAGGATGACCCCGCAGAGATGGGCTTGCGCTGGAGGGGCAGGAGGCCTTTAACCGGAACTGCAGCCCTCCCCACCCCTGCCCCAGCCCCAGCCTCTTAAAATAAATAGACTCTAAAATAAATAGACTTTATTTTTTAGAGAAGTTTTAAGTGTACGGAAAAACTGCACAGAAAATGCAGTGAGTTCCCATCTGACCTCCAGGACCCACAGTTCCCGCTAGTGAGCACGACACACGAGGGCCGAGCACATGACTGATGGACCCGTGTCAGGCCACAGCTGCTAAGTGTCGTGCCGTTTCTGCCGGAGCCCACTCTGCATGGCCTGCCGTTCCCCGTGGTTCTGAGCCTCATTCCAGGGACTCAGTGCAGCACAAGTCCCTCCTCTTCTGCACCATCTCTGCGACCGTCCCGCCCCCAAGACCCTCCAGCTCAGTCTGTCCTGCTCTGGGCACAGCAGCTTTGCCCCAGGGGCCCTGTGCATGAGCTGGGTGCTGGGGTTCTCCTGCCAGACTGCAAGCCCCTGGGGAGCGGAAAGGCTCACAGGCTGTCTCACCGGCTCAGTGGGGGCCGACCTGAGGCCCCCAAACGTGGTCACCCGAACCTGTGAGCTGTTTTGTGCAAGGCAAACCACAGTGCTGCTCTCCGGCAGCAACACGCAGGCCTCTGCTGGGCAGAGCAGGGCCGGCGCCGTGCAGGGCACAGGCTCCCCCCTCCCCCGGCTGCTCACCGGGGATCTGTGTCTTTAGAAAACTGGAGAAGGGACGTGAACGACAAATGGCTGTTAACAAATCAGATCGTTTGGTTGCCAAAACATTTCAAAATATGTAGCCCTGAAGGAGAAAAATTACAGATGTCTTGTGCTAAAAGGTTAAGCACCACTGAGGCCAGAGTGTCCTGAGTCAAATGGGGAACATGGCCAGAGAGCAGGGAGCTGTCCAAGGTCACCCAGCCTGTCAAGGGCAGAGCTAACCCGGTTCTGCCTGGCGCTGCTCTTGGAGGCACACAGGTGAGCAGGTCTCCCACGGCACCCAGCAAAGGGCTGGGCACACCTGTGTGTTTGCCCGCAGCTGGCAGAAGCACCACCTCAGACTGGAGATGTGGATGTTCATTCCAGCGCCGCCCAGAACATCACCTGGTGACTGCCACAGCCTACTCACTCAGTCGTGCCAACCAGAGGCTGAAGGAAGAAGGCCGAGGGGTCAGTGGAGTGCAGCCTGAGCCACGCACAGACCCCAGGTCCGCTGCACACCAGCCCTGTGACCTCGGGCAAGGCATCAACCTCTCTGACCATCGGTGTCCCTCTTTGGTGAGTTGGAGAGAACACCAGCCTTATGAAACTCCCTTGAGGATCCAGAGGGACTGTCCATTAGGAGCTTAGCATGCACTGTGCCCAGGACACAGTAGGTGTTTAATCAGTGTATCTGGCGTTAGCATTATTCTTCATCTCTGCTAGCCACTGAATGCACCAGTGCACCATGAACTTAGGCGCCCCCTCCTTTCCTCTGGATCCCAGCTACACAATGAGGGTTTTACCAGATGACGTACGAGCTCTCCCGTCACATCTGTGCCCCCCGAATCTGGGTCAGGCCCACCTGGGATGGGGCTGAGGAGTCTGGGGGAGCAGCAGGGTCTCACCGTGCTGGCCACAGCGCCCTCTTGCTGTGTCCCGTCCCGGAACCAGATGATGGTGGCGGCCGGCTTGGCGTTGAAGGCTCGGCACGTGAGGTTGTGGGGGGTACCGGCTTGCAGCAGTATCACAGGGCCGCCATCGATCCTGGTGTCCTCTGGGGGGACTGCGGGGTGATTAGAGCCATCAGTCAGGGTGCGACTAAGCCCCTGACCCTGCCTGCGTCCCTCCCGCTGCAGGTCAGCTCCGTGGACGGCCGCTGCCGCCTAAACTTGCAATCCCTACACCTGTTACCACCAGCGCAGCCCCCCAGCCCCAGCAGGTTCTTTCCCAGCCCGTCTGGTGGATGAGGGGTACTCATCCGCAAACTGGGGAAGAGCTAGGCTCTCCAGGATCGGGGTGCAGCTCACACCCGGGGGCCTCACAGGGGTGCCTGACCCTGGGCCAGCCCGGTGAGCCGGTCTATCACAACTACCTCCCGAACGGACTCCCTGCCTCCAGTGCCCCCGGCAGACACATCCATCACCACTGGCAGGTTATTTTCTCCAGCGCAGCTAAGACGGTGCCCCCTCCTTGCCCAGACACTTCGGAGGGCTATGAAGTGCCGTGGGCGTGCTCACTAGCGTGTCAGCCTGCCGCTCAGGGTTCCCCCAGCCAGCCCTGCACTTTCTCGCGTCCTCGCCTCTGCTGTCCCTTCCACAGCCTGCTGCACGGGCCCTCCCACCACAGCCGGCCCAGCGGTGGCACCAGGCAGGGGCTCTGCGCTCCTAACCGACCTCATATGGGTGTCACTTAGGATGACTGTTTGGGCCCCCTTCCCAACCAAAGCTCGTGTCCCCTGCTCCCTGGTTTTCTACCAACTCCAGGCCTAGAGGTGGCCACCGTCAGCTCCTGCTAACCGCTTGAGGGATCGAATGGGTCTGATTTCTGATGCCAAGAAATAGGCCTCTTCTTGTCCTATCCCCACAGGCTCCAAAAAGCTCAGACGGTGAGAGGACACGTTCCCTTAAGGCAGGGCTGCTTCTTTCTCTGAAAGCCCAAGGTTTAGCCGACCTCGGCCGACAGCAGGTCCATGGGGAGCGCAGCTGAACGAGTAAATAAGGGAGTAAAGCGGCAAAGGCGGGATTTTGGGATTTCGGTGACTGTCCTTCTGGTGCCCCCGTTGTCGTCAGGCCAGCAGTGGGAAAGGGCTTGGTTTGCCTTCTGCTGGGAAGACCCAGGGAGCGCTCGGTGAGGAAACCCTTGAGAGCAGGTGCTGGAGGCCCACAGAGCCTCACGGCGGGCAGGGCTGCCCCAGGGTGTAGGAAAGGCCGTTCCTGCGCTGCAGTTTCTGCTAGAAAGGAACCACCTGCACCCGTCTCTTTTCCGCTCAACTCATGCACACAGAGGAGCAGAGTTTCCGAGCAAGCTGTCCTGACGTTACACCCCTGTGTACGGCTGGTCACCCGTTGTGTGATCTTGGGTGAGGCCCTCAGGGGAGAGTCTTTCTTCAGCAGGGATGTGGCACTGCCTAACCCGGGGGCCCTCATGAAGGTCAGCAGGGGCGCTGGGTATGGACCGCGGTGTGCAGGCCCGGGTGACCGTTTGCCACGTTCGCGCTGCTGCTCAGACGAGAGCCAGCAGCATCCCTGGCTCTGGGCCAACAGATCAGCTGAGTCCCCGCCGCCTCCTCTTTGCTTAGGGCTCTGCCCAGTTCCCGTGTACACATGTGGAAGTGGGGTGCGAAGAGAGACGTGGATGTAGAGCCCCCACTTGGGGTCTCCTGGTCTGCGTGGGCCCCTCCGAGGTCACAGCTGCGGTCTCACCCAGGAAGGACATCCTGGATGGGCAGAGATCCTGTCCATCTGCGGGGGACAGTAGGCCCTGGGTCAGACGGAAGGCGTCGCCTCCCTTCGGCTCTCCCCTCCCTGGAACGCTGGCCCTTTCCCCTCCTTCGGGCAAGACCATCCATCTGTCGCTAACCCATCTTTCTCTCCATTTCTGGGGCAAAGGAGAATTGTCTGCTCTGCGGTCAGGGGGCGTGTCCGTGTGGCTGCTTGTTTACAAACACATTTTCATAATCTGTGGCAAATCTGTATGTGGGTCTGTGGCCTCAGTTTCCTCGTTTGTAAAGTTTTAAAAATAACATAGACTCCTCTTCCCCAGCAGCGATGCTGTGAAGTCGACTGGAGATCCCAGACGTGCAGCTGGTGAGCTGTGACGCGATCGAGTGTTTCCGCCCCTTGTGGGAAGCTGACCAAAGGGCCCAGTTCCACGCGTATGTGACTGCATCTGGCGCTCCCGCAAAGCGTACTTCATTAATCCTTTCGTGGTAAATACCATGGGCCCCAAATGCCAGACGAGGTCCCTGAGGCTCGGAGAGGTTACGAAGTGTGCCCTGAGGCAGGAGAGGGAGTTAAGCAGCACGGCTGGTGGGGGCCAGGCCCACCGACCCTGGGACCCTGGAGCCCTGCCCCTGTCCCCACAGGGCAGGGGGTGGGAGGGGGGAGGCTGTAGGCCTGCATGTGGGCACTGTGTCTGCAGGGGAGTGGGAGGCCGCTGCTCAGTCCTGCCGCAGGGAGAAGGAAAGGCTGCTGCTGCACGAAGAAGGCAGACTGGAGTGGGGCGGGCAGACAAGGGCTGTGGCTGCATGGGAGGGGGGTCTGCCGGGCACTGGACGCAGGCCACTCTCCACTCTGCTCAGTCTCCAGGACTGGTACCGTGAGCAACGGTGTACAGAACCGGGTGAACAGGGAGCGTGTGAGACGTAGCCTGTCTTCTTTGCCTGCACACAGCTGTGGGTGGCAGGGGGTCTGAGAGAGATGAGCAAGCACGAACCTCTCACTCTTTTTCTTCTTGGGGACTGTCCTTGCCCCCCAGACCCCCCAAGCCCCCAGATAGGCTGGGAAGTTCCACATACTGCACACAGACCATACCCTCCAAATGAGCCACCCAGCGTCCCCACCGTGGGCTCTCCCTCAGTGGCTTGCAGGCTCTTTAACACGGCACTCTTCCGTCTAGGGCCCTCATTCATATTCCCCTTCCAGGAAGCCTTTCTTGAACAAAACAAGCCACTGGATGCCATTATAAGCCCCATTCCTGCCATACCTAGGGGCTTAGCTGGCTTTGTCTCATGTTTGCTGCTCTGTCTCTGGGGGTCTGGGGCAGGAGAGGGGAGGGAGGACCAGGGGCTCCTTGTTGGGTTGGGAGTCCCCTGGGTGAGGAGGAGGACCTCCAGGATCCACAACAGAGGCAGTTAGGGAGGGAAAAGAAGACAGACGGACTGTCGAGAATCTCGTGGTTCCCTTTGATGGCCTGGGCTGGCGTGGGCTCACACACACCCAGGAGGGATGGGAGGTGCTGTCGTGGTGCCCCATGCCCATCCCTGGCGGCCACCCGACTCTCTCCCTGATCTCAGGCTTGCACCTTGCTCACGAGAGAGGAAGTGCGAGCCCCCTTGCCCCAGGCTAGAGTCCTTGTTGCCCTGACACCTCCCTGCCCAAGCCCTAGTGGTTCACAGCTGCCTGGGCAGAGCGCTAAGAGAAGGCTGATGTCACCATGCTACCTTACAGATGAGCAAACTGAGACCCAGGGTTTGTGACCCTTCAAGGTCCCAGTGCCAGAATGGGCCAGGGCTCCTGACCTCCAGCTCCCAGTTCAGCCCTTCCAGACACAAGGACAACCTCCTGCCCCCTTCTCACTCCCACTCTCCCGCCAGGTAAAACCTTCCTGTGTCCGAGCTCGCGGCCTCAGTTCTGCTCTCCCCCATCCCTTCCAGGGGCTTCTCCCACGTTGCCGGTTTCGGGCAATGAGATGGAAAAGAGGGAGCCCAACAGAGCACATGAAGGCAGCAGAAAGTGGCAGGACAGCATGGAGGACAAAAGGGAAGAGGGAGGCCCCGGGCAGAGGAAGCCCAGCAGAGGCAGAGGGAGAGCACCAGGCTAGAGGGAGCCAGAGGGGGTGTCCCAGCCTGTCTCCTGCAGGGGCCAGTCCCCACATTATGCAAATGGCCCGGGGGTTCTCACAGAGGACATCTGCTCTGCTCCAGCAGGACCCAGCCCACCACCCCAGTTCTCAACCCTCCAGCTCATTCCTCTGGTCTTGCTCCCCGGCTCCCAGAAGGGCCTCCAGGGGACTCTCAGTGGCCAGAGAGGAAGAGTGGTGAAGGGGAGTATGGGCTGAGTAAGGACGAAAGGGAGCTGCTGGGGGCAGCTGCTGGGGCTGGAGGCAGCTGTGGGGAGGGCGGGAGAGGCTCTTCACCGACAAGCCTGGGCCAGGAGCAGGTGCATCTCCACCCCAACTCTTCTGCCCTGGGGGAGCCCTATGTCCAACAGATAGAGCCCAACCCACTGGGCACAGAGGATGCCAGGCCTCACGCGCCCTCGGTCCCACCAGTGGGGGCCCACAGCCCGCTTTACCCTCTTCTGCTGGACTTGGCTTTGCACAAAGTTTAGAGAAGGATGCGGGAGGGCAGTGGGGACAGACAAGCAGCCAGGAAGAAGGGAGGAGTCACGGGGATAGGAGAGAAAGAGCAGGAAGAGGGCAGAGCATTACTGAGCACGGTGAGCTTGGCCCGCCGCGAGCGCAGGGCGGCCTCTGTGGCCTGGCACTCGTAGGAGGCGTCGTCAGACAGCTCGGCGTCCGTGATCTCCAGGTTGTACTGCCCGGCATCCGCAGAGCCCACGACCCGGTACCGTGGCCAGGCTGCAGGGACACAAAGGGCGAATGAGGCGAGCCCTGCCCCAGCCTGGGACCCGGCCTACCAGGGGCCCCTCTCTCCCCATGGCCGCACTCCTCCCGCCACCCTGGCCTGGGACCCCATCCACAGAGCCCCAGGTGTCACATTCCCATGTCACAGCCTCCTACAGACAGGCTGGGGGTCCTGGAGCAGGAGCGATGGGGACACAGAAGGGGCAGATGAGCGGAATTTCTGGAGCTGTTTCCAGAGCAGCGTCCCTTGTAATAACAGGAAAGGAGGAGGAAAAAAGCTGAGAGAAAGGGAGAGGGGGAGGGCATGTGGGCGCTGGAAATATAGGGCATCGCAGCACAGACGGAACTCCCTGGGGCTGGGGGGCGGGGGAGCCGAGGCAGGCCAAGGCCCTGCCCCCGAAGGAGCTCTGACCCACACAGGCCCTGGGGAAGCCACAGGCTGCTGCTGCGGCAGGTGGGCCTCGGAGCCGCTGGCCCCTCCGGCTCTGCCCTCCCCTGCAGGCTCGCATGCCCTCCCCTGTCCCTCTCTCCCCGGCTCCCCACCGGCTCGCTCCCATTATCTCCTTCTGTCCAGGGCTTATCGATCCTTCTCACTCCATATCCATTGATCTCTCTCTCCCAGTTTCTCTTTCTTTCTATCGTCGATAGATCCACTAGCCCATCTCCCTCCTCTGCACGGACAGACTTCCCTCACCTGTGCTAATATGCAGACCCCCACAGCAAATAATCTCAACCCCTAGACAACAAAAAGAATAAGCATGTGCAGCCCTCCCTGGGCTTCCGCTTGATGCCGCTTCCCAGCAGTCTCTCACTTGGCTCAGAACTCACGAATGCCGCGCTGGATCCCCTGAGTTCTACGGCTGTTTTACACAGTGGTAAACTGAGACCCAGAGAGGTGCAGGCTTTCCTAAGGTCGCCCAGCTCACCAGCAGCAGAGGCAGCCCCAGAACCCAGGGGCCATCCTCCTCCGCCGTGGCCAGGAGGCCTTCCCCAAAGTGCCCTTCCTTGTTCTGGAATATAGGAGGCCATTGGTTCATTCTGTCTCCCTGAATCGCCTCACAGCTTGGGCACAGGCTGCCCAACACCGGATAAAGGCTTCTCACACAAACACGGACATCGGCGTGGCTTTTTGGCCTCAGAGCAGACGTGGCCTGGGCAGGGGCAGGAGGGAGTCTGGAGCAAAGCCAGCCTGGCAGGAGGGACCTGCGGGACAGAGGGTCCCTGCGCTCTCTCCCAGCTCTCACAGGACACTCTGCGGTCTCCTGCCCCTCCGGCCTTACCTCTTTCTGCCTGGAGCACCTCTCCTGGCATCTGTCTCAAGCTCTCTTACGTAAAGGTCTCAAGCTCTCTTACGTAAAGGTCTCTCATTTCCCCTCAATCTCTCAGGTTCTTGTCGCCTTTCTTGAGCCAGTCAGCAGCCGGAGGAAACGTAGAGCTTCAGGGTTGGGAGAGCAGGGGAGGCAGAGCTTAGGAGGGGAGGGCAAAGCTGGCCTCACAGAGATGGGGGAGGGGAGGCTGGAGCTCAGACAGGTAAGGGCCATGGGCCCAGAAGCCTATGCTGGGGAGGGGTACGAAGACAGGATGTCCGAGTGCCAGGCCGGTGGGCCACCCACTCACCTTTGAGGCCCTGGCCCATGCCCAGCGCCAGCCCATCCTTGGTCCATTGCACGATGCCAGAGTAGTTGAGCAGCACACAGGGGAGCACGGCCCGCTGTCCTGCCACCACCGTCTGGTCAGCTGGCTCCTGGCTGAAGCGGGTCTGGGTCCCTGGCAAAGCCAAGCCGGCACAGAGTAAGGACGTGCGGGAGGGAAGTGCTCCAGCAAGGGGCCACCCTCCCTGGGCCCCATCCCTGCCCTCCTGTCCCTGCCCCACTCCAGCTCAGCCCCTTCCCGCCAAGATGCCATATGCTGGCCCTGGATTCCTTCTCCTCACCCCCACCCTGCCCCAGAGGGACAGGTTTCAGGGAGGGGGCGCTCAGCAGGGCAGTGTTACAGAGGGCTTGAGATGAGGCTAGTCCCCTCCTCCCATGCCACAGACAGGACACTGAGGCCTGGGGGTGGGGACAGGTGAGAGGGAGTGAGGGGCAGGGTGCGGAGTCGAACCTGAGCTTCGGCCCTCCAGGTCCTGGTCCTGTCCCGCCACCTGCCGCCTCAACCCCAGCCCTGTTCCCAGGTGCTGCACCCAGGAGCAGAGCCGCTGGCCCCGCACCACCCCTGCAATCCCAGAGTGTGACTACGGCACAGTACCCCTGCCCGCACATGTCCTGTCAGCCATCGCGGGTAGCACATGTGTGCTTCGGGGACGGCGCACCCAGTGGGCACACAAGGGCAGACACTCCGGGCAGGCATCTCACATGGGTGAACACCAGCGTCCTGGGGTCGGAGCGTCCACAGCAAACCTCTGAGCCCACTTCTTGGCACTCCCACCCCGTCCCGCGCGTCTGCCCCTTGCCCCCGAGCTCCAGGGCACGCGTGCATACACGCGGACACACAGACCCGCACTGTGCCACCCACGCGGTGGGAGCCAGGCGTGCGTGTGACTTTGTTCCTCTCCCCCCACCCCGGGCTGTGGAGCCACACATGGCTGCCCGGCTGGCAGCCCGGCCCGGAGCGTTTGATTAGAGAGCTGCAGAGTAATTGCCTTTAATTGTGGGGCCTAAATGGAGCAGGGAATTGGATTGTGGCAGCTCCTCCTCCCTGGGCTCCCACCCCCTGAGAGCCAGAGCTGGTCTGCTGCTGGGGCAGGCTGTGGGAAGAGGGGGGATGGCAAAGGGAGAGGTCGGGGGCTTCCTAGCTTCATCCCGTCTGTCACACTGCGGCAGCTGAAATCAGCTCGGCCCCAGCTCAGGACTCCGCTCTCAGGCTTCCCTCCCCAGCTCCCGCGGCTCTGCGGAGACCACAATCCCCAAATCCAACCCTTTCCACAATTTCTCTGAACCTCCATCACTCCAGTGTGTAGGGGGAGGGAACTTGTCGCCCTTCTGAGGGTCGCCCCCTTCTGAGACCTCCCTCTAAGCCACCAGCGACAGGACCCAGGTCTTATCCCCTCCCTTCTGTTTCCTCCTCCAGCTCCATATCTCCCCATCTTTCCAAACTGGCTCCACATTCCCTTCTTCCAGGAAGCCCTCCTGGATTGATCCCTTAGCTCCTTGGACAAACAGCTTGTCCCATCTCCCAGCCCTGCTGTCACAGCTCTATCCATGCATTTCCTGTCCCAGACTCTAAGAGCCTATGCCCATGTTTTCACCGTGAGGTAGAACGCAGCAGGTAGGCGAGCGTGTTTGTCCTCCCCATCTACCAGAAGAGGAACCTGTCCTCCAAAGCCAAGGCCCACATTCCTTCCTCTGAATCCCCCTGGAATCCCCCTGACATCCACATTGTCTGCTGCGCACAAAGGGGCCCGAGAGAGAGGGGCAGGGCTGGGAATGATGGGCAGCGTATGATTTAATACAACGAGGCAGCCTCTTTACTCTCGGTGAAGCGCACAAATCCAGTTCCTTGGGTCTGCAGGGGCCGGGAAGTTAGCAAGAGGGTCCCTCCCCACACTCCATGGGCTGCTCACTCAGCCCACCGGACATCCTTCCCTGGCTCCTGAAGAGGCCAAGGATAAGGCTCACCCACATCTGCAGGGATTCCAGGGCAGGTGTTGAGATCCTGGGGGAGGGGCGGGTCAGGTGAGCAGGCAGCATTATTAATTCAGGCATTGCCCTCATTATTATTCAAATTTATTCATATCCTTGCGCATTCGCTAGTGCAGCTCCATGCTGCAAGGTCCCCGAACGTTTCTCCTTCCCACGGCCCCAGAGCCCAAGTCAAGGTCTTGGGAACGGGCTGGCCGGCAGTCCCCGGCTCAGAGATGAGACTCTGTTCAAGGCTTTGCTGCATGGGCCCGGACACCCTGGTCTCCTGGCGACGCCTCCAGCAAACACTGAGGAGCTGCTCTTTGTCCACAGGTCACAAGCAAGCAGGATGGAGGGGGAGCCCTTGTGATCAGAGTCAGAGACCAGGGACAGGGAGCAGCCCGAGGGGGGAGCGTTATGGCTGGGGCACGTCATTCCCCCACCCCCCAACAACCCGGGCCTTGCTCACCTGCACCACCAGGAGTGTGGACAAGGACTGCAGGGGGACTTTTAGGAGCTCAGGTGTAGGAGACAGACTTCAGTTTGCATAATGCCTCTGCCTCTTCCTGACCATGACCTTGGCCAAGTCCCTCTCTGAGCCCTACCTCCAGGGCTCCCTGAAGGGTAATGCGATGAGGGGTAGGACAGGCCTGGGACAAACCCTTGCCTGTGCCCACTCACTGGTAGCCATGCCCCGTATCTATCCCGGGCGGCTACATAGTCAGGCGCCCCCAGAAACCCCAGCAAGGACATGAGAGAGAAGGCAGTTTAGTCGGGAGACAGGGGTGGAAGCAAAGACTCTGAAGTATCCAGAGAGGAGGGGCACACCAAGAGGTCTCGGGGACTGTCCTCAGTGGCAAAGCCCCTGGATCCTGACCCTGCAAAACTCACAAGCGAGTTTGCCCCCAAACAGCCCCCACAGTCAAGACGGTGCCGAGACAGGCCCACTCTGCAGGTTGGCTCTGGGGAGGGGAAGGCCCCACGCCACCCTCTCCTCTGCACACCCCAGGCTCCTGTCACCCTTCCAAGGCCTTGCCCAGTCTGTTCCAGGATCGGGGAGGGGGATCTGCTGCCCTCATTCCCTTGGGATTCAAAGAGTTACTTCCTCTGGGAAGTTTTCCTTGACTTCCCACGTGCCCTGAGAGCCCCTTTTACTCACTTCTTACCTCTACGATCATACGTTCCCCATGGCACTGCCCATCCCTGCCAAGAGCCCAGGGGACTCCAAGTCCAGGTTGGGTCCCTCAGAGCTCTGGCTCTTCACCCAGCACAGCCCAGCTGGCATGCCCACGGGTGTTCTGAAGTAGCGAGCGGCCCTGCTATGTGACCCACACCCCCACTGCCCCCCAGTGAGGGACAGGAGGCAGAGGGCTAGCCAGGCTCCCAGGCTCTAGCAGAGGCACGGGCAGGGCAGGCACGTAGAGGGACAGGCTGGGTTCTCCATGCAAGGAGACAGGTACAGTGCTGGGGGCAGGGTGCACAGACAGTCCTGAGAGGTTCCCTGGAGGAGGGAGTGTGGAGCAGAGCTGGGACGGGTGGGGGAGGCAGGATCCAAGGTTCTAATGCAATGACAGGATTGCTGAGGAAAAGCCTAGGAAGTAAGCAGTGAGGGGGAGACACTGGACAGGGCACCACAGCAGGGGCAGACGTGTCCTGGTGGCGTGACGACAAAGGAGGAGGTAGGGAGGGATGTCCCCGCATGTCACAGAGGCACCAAGAGCCCATCCTGGTGGCCTAGCAAGGACACACACACACACACACACACACACACACACATACACATAAACACACACACACATGCCCCCGAGGCCCTGGGGCCTCGGGCCTCCACCATCTGTGCCTGAGCAGAGCCCGCACTGCAGGTGGGGGCCGGACGGCAGTCCCGCCCAGGGCCTGCACCCCACTCGCAGGAAATAAAGCCAGCAGCAAACAGAAACACACGAGCATGGCTCAAGGCAGCAGGAGGGAACTCGGGTGGGGCTGCGCGCAGGCAGCCCACGACCACAGTCCCGCCTCGCCCGCCCTGCTCGCCCTGACCGGCAGCCCTGGCCCGGGGACCGCAGGAATCTGCAGGTGGATCTGGAATGAGTTCCTACGGGCTGTGATCCGTGGCCGCCCCGTCTTCACAGGCGTGAGGAAGCCTTAGCAGCCATCACGAAGACAGGTGGGGAAGGACACGTGGCCACAGGCACCAAGCCACACAGACCCACGGGAGGCTGGTGGGGTGGGGGGGCAAAACCAGACACCCACACAGAGGCTGGGGAGAGCCAGGGACAGTCCTGACACCGGAGGAGAAGCACCAGTGAAGGCAGATCTTGGTGAGAAGGAGGCGGAGAGAGGACAAGGCAGGCCCAAGGCAGTGATCCAGGGGGAAAAGCAGCAGGCAGGACCGGGTGACAAGAAGACCCTGAATGTCACAGGCCAAGACAGAGCAGCAGGAAGGCTCAGGTCCTGAAAATGGAGGAAGAGAGGTGGAGAGCAGGGGCATGGGAGCCAGCCTGGCCACAGGACCAGGCACCCCTACATTCGGTGTACTTCTCTCCTTTAGACATGCACAGTGAGGCTGGGGTCTCAGACTCTTGGCGTTCCCCTCCCCCAGGGGCCCAGGGGACAGGAAGCTCCCAGGAGGCTCAGCCAACAGGGTGGGGAGGGCAAGGGGAGCACAGAGGGACCCTGGGGAGAAATGAGGAGAGTGCTGGGGGGGGGAGCAGGGGGGGGGGGGGGGGGCTCTGTGCTTTTCACACAAGCTGAGGAGGGGTCAAAGCTGCAGAAACCCCCATTCCCACCTTCCCCACGCCCCTCCCCCCATCACTGCCAGCCCCACCCTGCCTGGCCCCCATCCCAACTCAAAGCTCCTGGGCCAGACTGGTCACAGCTCCCTCCCCCATTCTTCCCGCATTGTTTGGGCTTCTGGTTAGGGCACTTCTCCCAGCCTGCCTTGGATTAAAAGTTACTCATGTGTGCGATTCTGTCTCTCCCACTCTCCTGGGAGCCCCTGCAGAACAGAGACGCTTTGATTTACCTTTCTTGTCCCCTCAATCGGAGCAGCGCCCCTTAGTAAGGATAACTCCCAATTATGCGACGCCAGCTACGTGCCAGCACCAGGCAGATGCGCTACAGACCTCACTCCCAGCATCTCAGTCCCTG